GGACTTTAACTACACAGTAGAAATAAGTTGTATCTTTTTTTTTTTTGACATCCATTTGACGTTGTTTCAAGCATCTAAATTAGGTGCTGTTTTTGTTCTGGTCTCAGCCAGGAACCATAGAGCAGGCAGTCAATGATATCCGCACGGTTGCTTTGCCTTCAGAAGACGGAGAGGTTCTTAGCGTGTGGCTGCTAGCTGAGTGAGTCTATTGCCATTTCTTAGCACAATATCACTTTTATTGCATGAATTTCTAAATGAACAGAAGGGCCTTCAGTGGATATAGATTGCAACCTTCACACAAAAACATACCATGGCTTTTGGGAAATCCTATGGTGTTTTTTTTTCATGTACTTTTGATTTACCTTGGATTGCTATGTAAATACCATGGGATTTAATTGTAGTCGCTGTCAGTAATATGGCATCCATTAAAGTACCGTGATACTAATATCTCATAACATCACTGTACCATGGTACCTCTACAGTATGTTTTGCTGCAGAATTTGACGGATGTCTGTTCAGCCGGCTTCATGTCCTCTTTATATTTGACCACAGAATCGATCACTGGAACAATGAAAAAGAGAGACTGGTTCTTATAACTGAGAGGTAAGAGAGTACTGTAAGTTTTCACCGGAATGGATGTTTAACTGCTAGTATCCGCAAACGGGTTCTGAACGAGCTGCTGGTCTGTTACAGGTCTTTGTTGGTGTGCAAATATGACTTCATAAACCTCCAGTGTCAGCAGGTCATCAGAATTTCCCTGAACGCTGTGGACACGATCTCAGTCGGCGAGTTTGAGTTTCCCCCAAAATCCCTCAACAAGTAAAACACTTTATTCTCAAGCACAAGATACAATCTGCTGATTGACGTTGTCATTAAATGACAAATGTCCCATGGCTTTATCCACACCGTTATGTTAATTAGAACATTATAATAACAAACTTTAAAAATCGAAACTAGATTTAGGTCGTATTAAACTTTGTGTGTGTGTGTGTGTGTGTGTG